AGGTTTTTGACACTTCCAGGTTGGCTTCATTTTTCAGGGACGGTTGCTACGTCCATCTTTTATACAGTCTATGGTGGGAAACAGTGTGCATTGGATGTCATAAAGGTATCAGCAGTAACATGTGGAAGGAGTTTGGCTGGAAGATGAAGACAAGGTTCTTCCTTGGTCTCTAAATTTGTAGATAACCCAGCTGAAATATACTGTTGGAGAGGATGTGGAGGGGTTGGCGACCACTCACACATATTTTGCTTCCTTTTTGGACAGGGGTAAAGAGCGAGATAGATAAAGTTTGGGGAATTAATATACTATTCACCCCAAGTCGGTTTCTTTTCGATCTAACTCCTGAAGGCATGTACACCGGAGACCAAAAGTACTTGTTACATATACTCCTGATGACTGCTAGGAAAATGGTGACAGTAAAATGGATGAACCCACAGCCACCTACTGTGGCACAGTGGAAACAGAAGCTGAGGGAGGTGCATGGAATGGAGGCTTTAACGGCTCAATTACATTTGAGGTCTGATGTTTTTGTGAGGAGGTGGCTGCATATAGCAAGATACCTCTCTAAATGAGGGGAAGCTCACATCAAGCTGGAAAGTCTTAACTGTCAATTTATTATTTTTTCACTCAGCATTATTAGTATTTTTATTTTATTTTTTTTTATTTTATCTCTTGCACTGTCATACATGCTTTGTGATGTTGTCAAGGAATGTTTTTACTGTGTTTCTCATGAATAAAAATAAAATAAAATAAAAATAAACCTGCTTTTCTTTTTGCAACATGTAAAAAATAAATGGTGTAACAGAATATTTATCTGTTAAACAATATAATAAGACAATCTAAGATGATAGAATAGAATAGAATACAATAGAATGTTTATCATTTAGTTATAGTTCCTTATTAAATAAGAATTAATTTGATCGATTATGCTAATCTATCTATTGTTTGTTGTTGGTTCATATAGGAAGCAGGAGAAATTGTTTTAGGTGCAATTTTATAATAAAATTATTATTATTATTATTATTATTAATAATAATAATAATAATAATAATAATAATAATAATAATAATAATAACAACAAAAATAACAGTTTCTTTCATTTTTACGGCACCTTCTAGAAGTTTCCAAAGTGACATGACAGACAAACCAGAAAAGAGGAAACTCAGGAAGACAATATTACAACAGAAAGACATTCAGGCCAAATAAACAAACAAACAAACAAACAAACAAACAGAAAAACACAAAGTGGAGTAAAAGAGTGAAACATGGCAAAAGATACAAAATGCAAAGTACTGAACTTCAATATAAATAAATTAAAAGAAAAAAAAACAACCAGCTGATGCCAATAAAATAATAAAAGCACCATAAATGCCACAGCATAGAAACAGGAGTTATCAGAAGTGGTTTTAAACAAGACTGATTTATAGTACTTCAGATACTACACCTTGCTTGCAGTCGGCAAATATGATAAATACACATCAGTTTAGCAACACAGGTAATATCATTCAGGTGGTTTGTCTGTTTTCACTTACTTGCTTTACTTCTGTCAGCAGCAGCAGCAGCAGCAGCTCACCGGAGGTCCGGCGCCCCGGAAGTGCTTCTCTTTACCTAACGAGGTCAAAATGGCGGCGTGCTGCATGTGAAAGGGTCGAAACGGGAGCCGGCTTTATGATCGGAGAACATGTATAAAACGCCATGTAGCAGATTGTCAGGTAACACCAGAGCATGTGACTATTTCTTTCAGTGCGCTGTCACACTTCAAAGTCATTTTTTAATGTGCGCTTGCGATAAACTTGCACCCGAAGCTAATGCCGGAGCTAGCTTACTAGCTTGTCTATCCGGATGTAAGTAAGCTAGCATATTTGGCAAAGAAGCTAGCAGTGACCTTAGATAGATGTCAGTGGCATCTGCATACACTATAATTACCTCATTTGTGACTACAGTTTTCCTGTTGTGACTGTGGGTTGTCAGATATTCTTAAAACGTTGGCGTCGCGTAAAGTCAATGCGGGATTTAGACATAAATGTCTACATAACGGGTCAGTTAAGGACGCTGCAACAACACGTTCATGTAACGTTTGTCTAAGCAGCGTTTTACTTTACTTGTAATATTTGGGCTTTCCTCATTAACCGAAAAGGTATGTGCTCCAAATGAAGGGGAACTTACTGTATAATGAGCTGCCTAAATGAGCCTAACGTTCAATCAACACCGTTAGCTAACGCTGACCCTCGGATAAACTAATTCCAGGCTAGTATTACACTGTACTCGTTTAAGCTAAATATACCCAGTAAACTAGCACCTTAATGCAGCAGTCACTTAAGACCTAATCTATGGCTGTACTTCTCACGTTTGTTGTACAACAGTCTCACTTAAATTGCATTGGAAATGTTTTATTACTATTATAACAGCTTTGATATCCTACTCTTGCCTTTGATTTGACTTTTATCTGTTGCTCCTTATCTGTCTTGTAGCACTTGCTACCCAATCTTTTATCTTTTTTATTTATTTGTTCCTGCTTGTCATTGTTTACTGTTTTGCCCCAACACACCAACTCAAATTACTTGTATGTGAACACCTACTTGTCATTAAAACAAATTCTGATTTGGGGTTACCACATATCATAATGTTAATGAAAACCTAGTGAGGGAGTCGTGTTATCACTCATGTAATATCAGCTTTTGTTGTCATATATTTAATCTGGGAATTGCATGGCCACCATGAAAATAAATTATATTATCTTATATTTTTTATTATGCTTTCATTTTATGAAGACGTGCTACATTCTGTCTACGGTGTTTTGTTTGGTTTCATTCTTACTTGTTGATACCTGTACGCAATCAGAACCAAACCACCAGTATTTATTTGCACGATGACACATTCTGTCTTGTAGGTTTCGTTGGTGTAAGTGTGAAACAAAAATTAGTTCAAAATGTTCCTCGATGTAACCAGACTGCTCGCAGCCTCATACAACTGCACAAACGAGATCCATCAAAATGGCTGACGTATCAGCACCTCAACTTCCTCAAACGCCAGGTATCTTTCTCAGATTTGCAGCTTCCTTTGCACTTGAAAAAGTTCAGTCGCTTGTGATTGATGCTAATCTTTGTAGTACACTGAAGTAACCCTGATTGTCTGTTTTCTATTTACTTTTATTGTCTCAACAGTTAATTATCACATAAATCATCTTATTCCATGTCTTTTTACCAGTATGTTTCCAAGAACAGCAGTGAGCTTCAGCAACGTGCAATCCCCAAACAGTCACCTGTTCTCACCATAGTGGATGAGAGAGACGACAGCGTAGAAAGGCAAGTGGAGAGAATACCAACGATTAAGGCTGTGGTCACAGACACTGTTCCACAGCCAGAGGATGTCACCAGTAAAGCACAGCCTGAAATCTCTACCTTGAAGTCCACCACAGAAGATGCGGCAGCACAAAAAGATGCTGTGTCCCGTGTGGTTGCAACTGCAGAAGAGACTCCACATATACATGTCGAGTCAAACGAAGCTAAGGAGGCCCGTCTCGACAGACAGTGGAAGCAGCTGAAGGTTGACATGGCTGATTTACCGGATATCTATGCCAGACTTGCCAAAATCAAACTTACAGGTAGAGTATACAAATCCCTCGATTATTTGATGAAATGTGAAATGATGAAAGCACAGAATTGCTCAAGATACATTAAGAGTCTTGTACATATCTGAAAAATGTCAACAACAAAAAAAAAATTGACAAGGAAAAATGGGCAGATGGATTATATGAATTAGTGTGACAGTTTTGGCCATGACCAAAAATCTGTCAAGTCAGACTAAACTGTTTTTACTGGTCATACTGATGCATTTGATATTTAGCAGGTTTGTCTGTTTGTCTAGGACTAGTCATTTCTGTGCACAGCCACCTAGTAGTGTCTACCAATGCATGTGAAGTGCATAGGGAACAGCGATAAATTGCTGCTGATGTTCTGCATGCGTGATGTTGAGGTGGCATCTGTCATGTGCATGAGCTGCTGCATCCACATTGGCCATGTTGCGCCACCCACAAGTAAGTTCTTAGCCTGTGGGTAACGCTGAGATATGATGAAACAACCAACACTATGCATTGCATTTATTGCAAAGAGTGCAACCAAAGCATGGCAGAGCGATCCCTCTCCCTGTAGCATTTCAACACCAGGCAGCAGAAAACCCAAGTGGTGAAGAGTCAGAAATGATCATCTATTTCACCACTGTTTATGATATAGTTTATAGAGGTACCTTTTCCTAAGCTGAAGTCCTAAAAGAAAGGGTTAAATGCGCTAAACAATTATCTTTGCCTTCCATTCCTGTGTACCATCATTTACTTAATGTACTACGAAATTACCAGTATGTGTGGGACCTTTCAGCTTCACACTTCAAATCCATTGTTAGACCCCAAAAGGTGAAGTGAAAAATTGTAGATGCATCTAAACTATGTGCTTGAGCCTCTAAATAAAAAGTTGAGTGCACCAGTGCAGCTTGTGTACAAATTTAGTCTGGAGCCCTGTGAAGGAAACAAATGCTGATATTTATTTATTGCTATGTATGCAAAAGTGTGCTGGACAGGTTAAAACTATGCAAGCAGGTCTTATTTTCTAGTAGTGCTGAGCATAGTATCAGGAAAGACAGAGATGAAGTTGAGTCATTAAATGAGTGTTACGTTACATTACTGTGCTCCTTTTTGTCTCATGTTTGGCCCGTTGTCACAGGAGACGAGATCTGCAGCATAGTCCTGTTTTCCTCTTGCTCAGTATGACCCGTAAAATCCCTGTTTTTGCAGTAATCTCATAAATATACATCCTCCAGTGGAGCTTTAGAGCCTATATTGTAAATGCAGAACTCATGTATTTATGTATGTTTGAAACATGCCAAACATACAGATCTGCTGTTGATAAGTTAATTGTGTTGTCACTGTCACACAGTGTCTTTTTCTAAACTGAGTACGAGCTTTTACACAGAGTTACTATCACTGTTAGCTGGCTGTCCTAAGGAATCGAGTGTAAATACTTCTTAGACAAATCCATGATGGAAGGGGTGTCCCACTTGCAGTAAAATGAATTGTAAAGTTCTGTTAACTTTTCCTTGCTGTTTTGCTGCTTTCCTCAGAATCAACCTTTGACTGCAATAAAACATTAAAACATAGCATAGGCAGTGCTTCCCTCTTACATGTTACCTTAAGAAATAACGCTTGAAGAAAACTTTACAGGGTTTCTGTTCTATTATTTTTGTTTCAGCATTGGTGGTTACAACTGCAGCAGCTGGCTTTGCAATGGCCCCCGTGCCCTTTGATCCCATCATGTTTTTTGTTTCTTCGCTGGGAACCGGCCTCGCCTCTTGTACAGCCAATTCAATTAACCAGGTTAGTTTCTACACATATTGTGGCCAAACTCGCTTGTGTGTATGAGTGTGTGCTTTGTATGTGAGTTTTTTGCACACCACATGTAGGCCCAGTGACAGCTAGCTTTATAAATGATAAAACTCATTATAGTGGGATTAAAAGCATGCAATGCAGTCAAACTGTCAACAAACGGAATATTATAAAATTCAGCAAGGCTACTCCAGGATTATAATGGCAACTCTGTGCAACTAATGAATAGCCACAGCTAATTTACTGAAAGCAATATATATATTTGTATTAAACACAACTGTTTCAAGAGCGGCAGTAAACATTACAGATGTTTCTGATCTTTTTTATTTTCTAAGTACCAATTTCCTTTTGGGAAGAGAGTGACTTGTTTCAGAGTTGGCAAGATATCTGTTGGCCCAATAACGTGTAATGTCTTTTTTTTTGACATGTTATACAAACACAAACTTGCTTGTTGACAGACTCCCACAGCCACAGTTTTCTTCTTGGGGTTGATTATGTTCCACAAAATGCTGAAAAATCCCCCCCCCCTTTTTTTTTTTTTACCCACTCCACATTCCTCTTTTGCTACGCATCTTAAAAATGCATTGAACTGACTGTAGTGCTGTTATTATTTCCCTGCTGAAAGCTTTTTTTTTTTTTGAAGCTGTAGACAAAGGACAGTTAGTGTGCTTAGACACTTAAAATGCCTACAATAAGTAGGACCTCCCTCTGCTGTCTAGTGTTGACGTTGTCCATTGGAATTTGCTCCGTGACTTAAGAATATTAGTATAATGGGTGACCTCTTCCTCAGCCCCGGATTGAACTATGCTTAGTGGTGTCTTTGGTCTGTAATTTGGCAAAGGCCTTGATTACACTGCAGGTTCATGCCCTTGAGGCGCCCCCATCCCCTGCCCCAGCCTGCCATCAACAGCTACAGTTGTTGTCATTCCTTGTTTTCTAATAACAAAGTCCTCCACAAAGTCAAAAAAGGCTTGCAACAACGCCGATCATCCTGCATGTGAACTTGCGTTCTGTCATTTGGGTACAGGTGTTATACCAGTGAATATGTTTGGATAGTTTTGACTCTGTGGTCAGGCCTCAATCTGGTCAATTGAAAATTAGATTGTCTCTGTAGGGGCCTGAAACAGAGCCGCACACCTCTACCACACACTGAGCAGGTGTGTAAATATCCCTCAGGTATTTGAAAAATGTCCACCTTTTTCCATACAGAGTAGTTGAGCTCAGACTCGAGCTCTAAGACGTTCAGAGCGTTGAGTGATGTAAGAGGCGGCAGCCACTGTTCGTACCGTGGGTGTCCTGTAACTCTGGGCCCACCCTCACATCATTCCTGTCAGTCTTCATTTTCTCCACTAACTCGCCCCAAGGTTAGGATACAACACGGCTTCATATTTCATTGAAACAGTGCTTGTTGCCTTTCGGTGCCTCTCTCTCTTTAGAGAAGTGTGTGTGTCAGGACCTGCAGAAAATATTTATACCACAATTATTCTCATGAAAGTTTTTACAGATATTTTATAAAAGCCACATTTAGAGAAGCAGATTAATTGGATTTTTAACCCTTACGTATTGTTTCGGGTGACTCGCTTTGACATTTGACAGCAGTAAAAACACCCTATATATGAGTCTTTTAGCCCAAAAAATTGATGACTTTTCCTAAAGTGACCCAAAATACAAAAAATGAAAATATTTTAAAATGTTATGCTTTTGTACATTGAGGCTGTTTCGGGTCAAATTTGACTTTTATCCATTGAGATAGATTTTAGATCAGGGGTGTCCAATCCTGGTCCTCGAGGGCCACAGTCCTGCATGTTTTAGATCAGGGGTGTCCAATCCTGGTCCTCGAGGGCCACAGTCCTGCATGTTTTAGATGTTTCCCTCTTCCAGCACACCTGATTCAAATGATCAGGATCGTTATCAGGCTCCTTCAAAGCTTGATGATGACGGATCATTTGAATCAGGTGTGTTGGACGAGGGAAACATCTAAAACATACAGGACTGTGGCCCTCAACGACCAGGATTGGACGCCCCTGTTTTACATCGACCAATGTGGGTCAAATCAAGGAAAATGGTTTTAGGGAATCTTGAAACAGTGAAACTGATGTGTATTTTTTAATTTACATTTGTTGATGTGACATGGGCTATTTCGACATTCTAAATAGATGTGTAGTTTAAAATTTGGTATAAACACTGACTATGAGTGAATTCTTGACAGGAGTTCTTCACAGTATTGTCAATTTTGACTGTGGAGGCATAAAATCTGAATTGTATGTAAGGGTTAAAGCTGGAAAACTAAAGATTGCTGCAGTATTGTGGTAGAATGGGAAAACGTAGGCTCTTGCTGTGTCACTTTTTGAGCTCTAGTCCGCAATATTGCACATTTTCACCGTCTATAGATGTTTTTGATTACACCAAAGATGCCCTATCATAAAACATCAGTATAGAGTCATGAAGCATTGAATATCTGTCCATTTTGAATGTCTACAAAGACTTTAGTTCATTTAACATTATACATGTGGGTAAAAGTGTCCTACGGTAGAATGCGTGGTATTTTGGGAATGCTTCACATGGTTTCTGTAGATAAATATACAGCGAACTGTAAAGAGATCCTGGTAGAATATTACTTCAACATTTCTGTCTGTTTTCACAAACGGCCTTGTGTATCTTAGCCTGAAATTCATCAGCGCTTACTCCGTTTGAGGCCAAGGAATCCTTTCTTGTGGCTAGTAGCTGGTATGTGAGCCCGATCCTTGACACAAGTCAGATTCACTCCGTTCCCTTCTTCTCTGTGGGCACATTTCGCATGTCATCGTAGTCTTAATTGGAAAGAGTCGGAGATGAGATTATTGTTTCAGACAAATTAGCCACCTGCCCTGAAGTGGAGTTGACTTTGAAGCTGACAAAAGTAATTCGAGAGGAAATCTTAAAAGGGTAAACAATGTTGGGAAAGTACACTTGTTTGTAGTGGGTTTGCCTGTCTAGTATGGGAAGTATGTGCCTTACTTCATGCAGGGCAGCAGCAGTAGTAGTTGTTGTTACTTTGTTTGGAGAAGAATGTCATTTTCCTCAATGTAATTATACACACAGAAGCGCCAGGGACGTCATGTGTGACATGTAATCGGCTGTTGCTCTGCCACTGTGGCGGGGGACTCTCCACCTCTTTGCAACAGACACACTCAGGGTTGTAGTTTGTCACTCCCTCACCTGTGGCTGCTCATCTCAACACTTCGCTCATCCTTTCTTTTCCATAATCCCCCCCCTCCCCAAAAAAGATGGAATGGAAAAGACAAACATCCTCTCCTCAGATCTGCTGCCAGGGATTTTTTTTTGTCTTTTTTACCCCTTTTCATCTTTTAAAAATACTGGTGCTTTGCCATTAGCGTGATTAGTTGTGATCAAAGCTGAAGTCTTTTTATATGAAAAGTCAAACAAAAGCTCCACAAACAAATCAAAGCAGAGCAAGGCCCTTATGAACATCGCTTGCTATGGATTCTGCTGCTCCACCCTAATCCCTTAATGTTCAGCATCTAAAGAAGCAGTGGAGTGTGCGAGTGTATGTGACTACACAACTGTCGAATTACCTTGAGGAAAGGAGGAAAATGCCTTCAGGGAGAGAAAAAAAAATGCTTTGGCTCTTGGAAGTGGCAGTCAGACCTTCAGCTGAGCTGTCAAAACCCAAGGCTGCTCTTTGTCCCATTGGGAAGTGCCTGTAGGGCAAACAGAAATGTTGTGGTTTCCTTTTAAAACGTTACTCTATTTAGGAAACTGACGGAAGGGTGTAAGCGCTAGGAGTCACGTAACAAAGGCATGTCACCGTCTAGAGTTTCTTGCCACAGTCAAGTGGCTTAATGCTGTCATGTTGTTCTTACAGTCGGAGAGAACAGTCAGGTCCAACGACAAAGGGATGTAATTATTTAAGCTTTCAGTTCAAGTAGTTCTCCCTGGGTTTCCAACTAAGAACTTTTTGGAATGTTTTTTTTGTCTTACAGCTTAGATTGTCACTGAAGCCTGTGTAGAGGTGTCACATGAAAAGGAGTAATACTTTGTAGAGAACATACTCTGAGAGAAATGGCTCAGCCGGCTCCAAGTCACACCAAACATTTGTCATCTGAGTTGCCTCCAGAGCAGAGTTTCTCCAGGTCTGAGTCCCAGCGAATATTAGTTAAAAGTGCTGGTTGCCTTAGACTTCAGAACCCCTGGGCCCCACAGCAGGCCCGGCCTCTGCAGGTGTTCCAGCCGTCATCACCTTCTAGTCTGGCCACTACTTCAGCTAATTGGATAATTGGGTCAGATGAGAGTTAGGGGCTGGAGCCTGACGGACCCAGGGGGAGGTCTGAGGTCCCCAGCAGTGTAAATAAGACCTGATCTGGCCTTTTACTGTCAAAAGAGTCACACCATGTCAGTGTGCGTGTTTGTTTTGATGAAAATTCAAGCTGGCTTGTTTTGTGGTCTGACTGGTGTCGTTTCTGCTTGTGTGACGAAGGCACCGGGTCTCCTTTTGTGTCTGTGTCTGTGGTGAGCTGTCTGAGGCTGGCACGCACTAGTGAGCCCCCACAAGCCCCCAGCCCATCCAGTCCCACCACTGCAAGCTACGCCCTGCTCCCTTGTCCTGTGCAGACATGCATTATTTACCCTCCTGCATGCTTCCTTCTCAGTGCATCTTGGTCAGGCCCTTAGAGTACGTGGGTACATGACTGAACATGGGCACAGGTTATGCAGACAGTCATGTGTTACCAGCACATAGTGATATGTTTGTTTAAACCTTTTTAAAAGATGAAATATATAGAATTAAAAAAGAGTTAAGTCTTTCCAAAGTAACTTCCTTGAATGTTACCTGTGATGTAGCAGTGATTCAACTCTCTAAATCTCTTTGTTAATGTGCAAAAGAATGGGATCTGTATGGACAATGCAGTGTCATCATGTAAGCCCTCTATATCTAGCAGAAGCTCAGGCTTTCAACATTATAAGTAGAGTGAAGCACCTCAGAATCCAATGAC